ACATTGAGCCTTGATCGAGTCGACTCTCGACAAACGACACGCGGGCACTGCCTGTCCCGTGCTTCACCTTACATACTCGTCTCCTCAGAAACTTTCCACCTCTACAGGGATATTCCCAACTCAAACCTAAACCTCGAGAGAGGTTGTTGTAACAACCACAACATATCCTTTCGTAAGTCGCAGATCCTATTTGTCTTGTTTCGTCTCGACTCTTCAATCTCTTGCCGGCTTTTCACCTACATGAATACTTGATGTTGCTGGAACTTGGCGCTCAACATATCGTGTCCCCCTTTCTTGTTGATCGACACGCACCTTCCTACTCGATACCGCCTCCTTCAGCTTTCCTTCGACCCAAGGGTCGAGTTCCCTGAAGCTCGGCGCTCAGCCCGCATACGCTTTTTAAACGTCTGGCTTCCGAGGTTTGTCTTCCTTCTAACATTGCTCTGCCAGGACGATGTCTCTTCCCGAAAGGCCGGGTGCAAGCCCGAGCTATAACCAGCGCAATGTTTATCGCAACTCGCCCTCAAGGCGATCTAGACCTGTCGATATCGAGACTGGTGGCTACCATGCTGTAGATAATACGGCTCAGCATCAACGTGGGAGATCCGGTTCTTCTTTCGCAGAGTCAATCGGTGTTAATTCGAATACAGAGAGCATGCCTCTGTCGCCAACATCTCCCGATGGCCAGTCACGTCGCGCTGGCCCAGATCAACCCATATCCCGAAAACGAAGCTTGATTCGCCCAGAGAGAAACAGAATCGACAGAGACCATCGCAACTACCATTACCACAAACATGCAGCTCACATGAATGTTCTTCCATCCTCAACAGGGAACGACCCTATTTACGAGGACTTTGAAGCTTCGACAGACCGCTCCAATTCGAACTTGAACGACGGTGGTTCCGACAGTTCCCCTCGACAAAGGCGAACCGTTAGCGGAGAACAGGAGAAGGGCGCTGCTGTGGCATCTACCATGCCCACCCCAGATCGCACAAAATCAGGTAAGATCAAGAAGAGATCGAAGCGCCATTCGAAACCGCCGAAGCGTATAGAAGAGCAGCTTCGGCCGCCTACCTTCTGGAATGTCTACTGCGCAATCGTCACTTTCTGGGCTCCCGGATTCATCATGAAGTGCTGTGGTATGCCAACGAGGGCGCAGCAGAGGGCCTGGCGCGAGAAGATGGGTCTTATCAGTATCATCCTCGTTATCATGGCCATCGTTGGTTTTCTGACTTTTGGTTTCACCGCAACGGTTTGCGGAGCCCCTGCCGAGCGACTACGCGTCAATAAGGTTGACAGCGGAAACATGATCTTCCACGGCGTTGCTTACGATTTGTCGAAATCTCATCACCCCCCTGCCCAGGGTATGCCTCTCCGTTCGGACGGACTCGGTCCCAATGTTCTTTATGATCTTCCCGAAAAGCACGGCGGACAGGATGGTAGCTTTTTGTTTCAAAATGTCAACGGCCGATGCAAGGGTTTGATTACTCTTGCTAAAGACTCAGATGTGCCAACCAACAAGGATGGCGATCTGGCCTGGTACTTCCCTTGCACAACCTTTAACCAAGACGGCTCAAGCAAGGTTAATTTGACCACACCATACTATTCTGGTTACGGCTGTCATACGACGCTCAACTCTCGAAATGCTTTTTACCTTGACTTGCATGGTTCCGCAGATGTTTACTTCACCTGGGACGACATCAAGAACAGCTCGCGTAACCTTATTGTCTACTCTGGAAATGTTTTGGACCTTGATCTCCTCCGCTGGTTTAACATGAGCCAGGTCAATATTCCCAAGAGGTTCGAAGAGTTGCGAGACAAGGACTCGGAAGTCAACAAGGCCATCCGTGGCCGCGACGTTACTCGCATGTTCCAGTCTTCCTCAGACAAGAAATACGCGGAATGTTTCGAGGAAATCATCAAGGTTGGCTCTGTGGATACTGAGACAATTGGTTGCATTGCCTCCAAGATCGTCCTTTACTGTGCGCTCGTTCTCATTCTTTCAGTTGTCGGTGTTCGGTTTCTGCTGGCTATCATCTTCCAATGGTTCCTTTGCCGCAAGTATGCGCCAACTAAGACCTCCCAGAGTTCTGACCGTAGGAAACGAAACAAGCAAATTGAAGATTGGTCCGAGGACATCTACCGCGCTCCTATAAGACTACCTGGAGATGTTGGAAGCACTGTCTATGGATCGTCAGACCGAACAAGCAAACGAGGATCTTTCCTCCCCACTACTTCTCGATTTTCATCTGTCGGTGGCCCTGATGTTCGGGCATCAACTGGACGTCGCATGCCGACCACTATGGCGAGCCAAGGTGCATCGAATCAACTTCTGACACCCGCCTCAATCTTTAAGCAGGGCAACGACAGCCGTGCCAGCTTCCTTCGATCTGATCCCTACTCGAGCACGCCTACTGATGGACCCGGCCCTGCTGGTTTCATTCACGATGCTGTTGTTCCTCAGCCTCCTTCTGACTGGATGCCCTTCGGCTTTCCATTGGCTCATACGATGTGCTTGGTTACTGCATACTCTGAAGGAGAGGAGGGTATTCGAACCACTCTGGACTCGATCGCAACCACCGATTATCCCAATAGCCACAAGGTTATTGTTGTTATCTGTGACGGTATTATTAAGGGCAAAGGTGAAACAATGTCGACACCTGACGTATGCTTGGGCATGCTGAAAGATCACTCTATTCCCCCTGACATGGTTGAGCCTTTCTCCTACGTGGCTGTCGCCAGTGGTTCCAAGCGTCACAACATGGCCAAGATCTATTGCGGCTTCTACGATTATGGAAGAAACTCTCGCATCCCTGCTGATCGCCAGCAGCGAGTGCCCATGATGGTTGTGGTCAAGTGCGGAACTCCTGATGAAGCCACCAAGTCCAAGCCCGGTAACCGTGGAAAGCGAGATAGTCAAATTATTCTCATGTCTTTCCTCCAAAAGGTCATGTTCGATGAACGAATGACAGAACTCGAGTACGAAATGTTCAACGGTCTCTGGAAGGTGACGGGAATATCTCCTGACTACTACGAAATTATCCTCATGGTTGACGCCGATACAAAGGTTTTCCCTGACAGTCTGACACACATGATATCTGCCATGGTGAAAGATCCTGAGATCATGGGTCTTTGTGGTGAAACCAAGATTGCCAACAAACGGGACAGCTGGGTCACAGCTATTCAAGTATTTGAATACTTTGTCTCTCATCATCTTGCCAAGTCGTTCGAGTCTGTTTTTGGTGGTGTTACTTGTTTACCTGGTTGCTTCTGCATGTACCGCATTAAGGCGCCCAAGGGTGGTCACAACTACTGGGTCCCCATTCTGGCTAACCCCGATATTGTTGAACATTACTCTGAGAACGTGGTCGAAACTTTGCACGAGAAGAACCTCTATCTGCTTGGTGAAGATCGTTTCCTGACAACCCTCATGCTTCGAACCTTCCCCAAGCGAAAGCAGGTCTTCATTCCCCAAGCAGTATGCAAAACGACCGTGCCGGACGAGTTCATGGTGCTCCTTTCTCAGAGACGTCGTTGGATCAACTCTACCATCCACAACCTGATGGAGCTGGTTCTAGTCCGTGATCTCTGTGGTACCTTCTGTTTCTCGATGCAGTTTATCATCTTCGTGGAACTAGTCGGCACTCTAGTTCTCCCTGCTGCTATCGCGTTTACCTTCTACGTCGGTAAGTAACATTTTATTCTCAACATGAGACAATCACTGACAATCACAGTCATCACATCTATTATCCACTCGCCACCACAGATCATTCCCCTAGTTCTCTTGGGTTTGATCCTTGGTCTGCCTGGTCTTCTCGTTGTCATCACCGCACACTCTTGGTCCTACATTGTTTGGATGCTCATCTACCTGCTGGCACTGCCAATCTGGAACTTTGTCCTACCTACTTATGCTTTCTGGAAATTTGACGACTTCTCATGGGGCGAGACTCGAAAGACAGCTGGTGAAAAGACGAAGAAGGCAGGCCTCGAGTATGAGGGTGAGTTTGACAGCAGCAAGATCACCATGAAGAGATGGGCCGAATTCGAACGCGACAAGCGCTCGAGAAGCGGCTATTGGGGTTCACGTGAGAACGTCGTTGGTGGTGGTGGAAGCTGGACCAGCCCTCCTGGTCACCAGTATAATGATGAGTACTTTTCTGATGCTTGATTTCGGGGACATCGGATTAAAGGGGAAAACATGTTGTGAGCGAACGGTGTTTTTGATGATGATGGAATGCATGCACATATATGTAATAAGGGGTAACATTTTAGTATTCATGTTCTGATGCCCGGGGTGGGCGTTGGCGGACATAGGTCCTATTTTTGTATAGAGTCAGTTGGATTGGAGACGGCGTTATTCCAGCGACTATTTAAAAATAGTATAATTTGGATGATTTCAAAGGAAATTTTTACATGCCAAGTCCGCGATGAAGTAATGTTGTTACGCCAGACAGATTATGATCAAAGGTATAAAGACTCATAGATACGAAATATCTGAGGGCTTCTTGCTATCATTCATGGCACATATGTTTGTCGAAGAGCTAAGTGTATTGAAGCTTAGCAAGTGTTGTGATAAACAATAATCGGGGCGGGTTGTGCGTATTCTATGCTTGATTGCTTGATAAATATCATCACTGAAGCTCCGACAAAGATGATATATCCATCACCCACCAGAATGTGAAAAGAGAAATGTGACGCGAGCGACGCGAGATGACTTCCAAGTAGGATAGCACCAATTCTCAATCGTTGAGATCCAGTAATTTCCAACAAGACACAAGCAGTTGTCATTAAGAGGCTGTTCAACTCGAAGCCAAAGCCTAAGGTAACTATTCCATCAAGTCCAAAACTCCTTTCGCCATGCACATCTTCTCGTAACGCCAACGAGCCGCAGAAACCAACAAGCGACTCAGTGTAATAACCCTACATGGAATGCATCATTTTGTTCATGATGGTCGTCAACAAGAAATAGACAAAAAACGCCTCGCTCTTCTCATGCCATATCATGACTCTTGCTTCCTCGAGTGGTCTACATCCTCCCCGAGTTCCCAAGGCTTTCGAGGGTCGACATAGGTAGAGATACGCTGATCTCCCCATCGAGCTCCGACAGTAACCCATACGTGTTTCTGGGGTGCGTGGTTACTGATGGTTTCCCGGTGACCACCCCAGCGAAGGCGGGATTCTCGACTCATTTGACTGTTGCCCAGGCCACCATTGGTCACCCATTCCTTCACGACATCCTTGATAAAGACAATCTTGCGTCGGAAATCATTGGCAGCAGGAATACCCTGTAACTCAGGCGCGATCTCGGGACGTCTTCTTGTTGTGGTTGTGGTTCGGCCAGCCCGAGGGGCTGCAGGCTTTGCCTGGAAGTTTAACAATGTCTGCAGAGGGTACGATAGCATCGCTCGGTCATCAAGTGCAGCGGCGCCGATAGTGCCAGTGGCCGCAAGTCTCTCGGCAGCGTCCTGGGGGAGGTGCCAGAAGTGACACCAGGTCCCAGTGTGATCGATTACGATCTTTGTATGATCGGGGAAATTGAACTATGCAAGTTAGCTTGATGTCGAAACCGCCCAGATGTAGTCACGTACCTGAAGATGGCCATCGCAGAAGACCCAGCAACCAACATCTCCGAATCGCTGGTAAAATGTGACGAGCTCAGCTACTGTGCCCTTCTGTCCTGGGGATATGGCACCAGCCGGGTCGGTCTCTTCAACCGGCACGAAATCGTCCCGTCCAAAAGCAATCATGTAGTTAGCAAATTTCTTCCAGAGAATTATTCTCTCGCGCTTCCGATGCTGGAAGATGTCCCTACCGGGCTGCATCTTGCCTGCAGTCCCATCTTCTTTCACAGCTACTCGAAATTGCTCCGGAGAGACAACTACCTCCGAAAGGCCGGCCTCGCCATTATTCTCGAAGAACTTGATAGGTTCTGTCATTGGGAGAGGCTGTACCCTATCCTCGTACGTCTCGTCCTTACCGCGAACGATGTGTCTCTCGGCACCACGAATGAAGACCCCAGCAGGAGGAAGCAAGGCGGGCTTGCCGTTTTCCGTGGTTGGGATGTCCCGAAGAATGCAGCCAATACTACCGTCGTTTAAGATATATCCAAGGCCGAATTTGTTGGTGTAGTCTACCCATTTGACAACAACATGGGGATGCGGTGGTGCAACAGTCTTGGATGATATTATAGCCATAGTCCTCGAGTTTAGAGCTCGTTCAAGCTCATTCTGGAGGCGATGTAGACGATCCAAAACTGCGTCGGGCTTCGTTCCGGAGATTCTATCTTGCCGCTCGGAGGCGCTGAACAGCGTTGCAGGCCGCATGCCAGTAGTATCCTTCTTAGGGGGTGCAGCTGGCGCAGGAGGGGCTGTGGTGGCAGGAGCAGATGCTTGACGGTCAAGCGACGGTCGTTCAGAAAGCTGTCGCTCTGCAGGTTGCTGAGAAGTTGCTCTTGGCGGAGGTGCTGATCGAGTCGAAGCTCGCAGGCTCTTGCCGACAGACTCAACAGTTTCCCTTGGAGGAGCTTCTCGAGGCAGTTCCTTTCGTGTTCTTGTACGTAAGCTCTGGGAAGCCGAAAGTGTTGCTTCGGGCGCTGGGCGGGGCTTTGCGGATACCATAGTGCCTGCTGGCCTGTGTTGCATCCTCTGCTGTGCAGCAAAACTCTGAGGAGGTTGACGAAGGAGACCTGCCGGTGCTCGTTGAGTAGCTGACATAGGGTCTTCGGTAGACACGCTTGCCTGTGCAGCCAAGGATGCTGTGTACCTGACCTTTATCTGCTGTTGCTCCTTCAACCACTCTTCGAATGGTCTGTAGACAATTCCTTCTTCGAGAGGGATCATCGGTGTCAGCCCAGCCTTCTCCTCAGCGGCCATCTCCTTCCACGTCTGAGTGTGAACGACTTGAACTGGGGCGTAAGGGCCGATGCCACACTCTCGACACATGTCCTTGAAGTTCCTGTATGATTGTGCTTGCAAAGCACTGCTCATTCGAGAGGCGTAAAATTCCTCCCGGTCCGGGGGGACTTCTCTTAGGCGCGAGCTCATTTCCGCTTCGGTAGGCATATAACCACAGGTGAAAAAGGGGTGTTGGATAATTTCCTCCGGTTCCGGTCGGCTTTCAGCATCTTGAAGCATCGTGGCAACTAGTTCCTTAGCTTCCTGGCTGATGTATCTTCGTGATGTTTCCGCCGATGGCCAATCATAATCCCTCTCTCGAGCTCGGCGGTAAATTTCGTCCGTGGTCGAGGATTGAAAGGGTGGCTTCGATGTAAACATGGCGTACATGATAATGCCCAGGCTCCAGATGTCAACCATATGGTCATGCCCCTTCTTTCCTTTCTCCAGAATCTCGGGAGCAATATAATTAGGTGTTCCGCACAAAGTTGTGCGACGGATGGTGTGCATATCGCGACCAGTCACCAACAGAGCGGCAAGACCAAAATCACCGATCTTCGCGTTCATCTGAGAGTCAAGGAAGATGTTGCCCATCTTCAGGTCACGGTGAATGATGCCCTTGTTGTGCATGTACTTGATAGCACCGGCGATCTGAACTGAGTAGAAGCGGACTTCGGGCTCAGTGAGACCTTTCCTTCGCTTCACCATGTCCATGAGAGAGCCGTTCGGACACAATTCGAGAATCAGATATGTGCATTTCTCGTATGAAAAAGCTCTCAAGAATTGAACGATATTTTTGTGCTTCATCTTTGAGTGAATCTGGAGCTCGGTTTGGAACTGAAACATGTTAGATGTGTTTCAATGTGTCTTCTTTCTGTTACAAACCTTTTGTTCCATTTTGGGAGGCATGTGGCTCTTGACAATCTTCAGAGCAAATCGCTGCTTTGTGGGTAATAATTGGCCACTGTAACAGACTGCGAAGCCACCCTTTCCGAGCAGTTTACCGACCTGATACGTTGCTCCATCAGGTCGATCGGTGCTTGGAGGCTCAGGGACTTCTGTAGGCGGGGGTGGAGGGTGTTCCTTCTCCTTGGCGGCCTTGAGTTGGGCGGCCGTCTTTGTTTTGATGTCGGTCACTTTGGGTACTCGCTGGGCGTTGGCATCCCTAGGGGACAAGGCCTCGAGATCGACGCCGCCCCGGGGCACTAGTCTATGAGCCATAGCTGATGGGAAGCTCGGATATTGCGATGCGAAAATTCAACGAGTTTGTGGACGGTCGTTGCCAAATGGACGAGCGGGCTAGAAGGTCAGCAGCCGCGTTGAAGTGTCGCAAGTATCGGACTAGGATAAATGGTTAGCCACACCGAAGTGAAGATGGGACGCAAGAGCCGAGTGCGTGTCTAATGGCTTCATGTATAGTAGACGAGATGGTGATCCAGTGGAACCAGTGGGGAGAACTCACGAGACCCGCGACGTCAACATGCAAGACGAATGAAAGAAAGTCGCCTATTCGTGCAGTAAAAGCCAAGGACGTTAAACAATGCTGAAAACTGAGATGCTATCGTCCGATGCTATGGGTTAGTATTTGTGAGAGCAAGAAACCCGACGAGCGACGCTTGAACGAAGAAAGATGGAGAGAAGTCATCAGTTGCCGCGACTGGTGGTTTGTGTACTTTCTTACCAGGCTGTTGCCGCTGGCAACCACAGAGCTGGGGCGGGTCGTGAAGTTGTCCAATCAAATAACACCCTGCCTCGTCTGTGCCTCTGGCTAGCCAATCAAGGAATTTCAATCCTTGAATGACTAGGCCAACATTCGGCCTAGATTTGCTGAAATAAAGCGGTCAATTAATTGGCAGGTAATTTTCGTACTCTTGTTATGAATGGTTATCTTACATCGTAAGTCATGAATATCTAAGTCTATAGTGGAGAAGAGGCTATAATATGATAAGAAACAAAGGGGTGCATAATTACCAAGTGCCAGCTATCCATTGTCCAATATTCCAGCTGTCCATGGGCGAGTCTCCCTTGTATTTCGAGATTTGAAAAGTGCTCCAGATTCCCTCTGGTTGGCTTTCCTGCTTGCAGAGGGTTTCCAGGCACATTTGATTTGTTCGTTTTCTGATTTGAGTGTTATGATACTTGCAACGCCGGGGCCAGCAATTGATTTGTCTTGGGATCCCTCAACTGGCGCAGTGTCTCCTCCAAGCGTTCATATCTTTCCCTGTGCTTCCTTTCCGCCTCTTCTAGCTCGTCTTCCCTCTTCTTCAGTTCTTCGAGTTTCTGGTCCAGCTCTTCTATCCGCAATTTGTTCATGTCGGGCTTTTGTGACGACTTCCAGGTTTCGTAGACAATTAAGGCGATGGCTACCGAGAGGATGAACGCATCACCAATGACATCAGCGAATAGATCCACCGCTTTGTTCTCGGGAAGTGGCCTGAATTTGCGCCTCCAGATGTTTTGAAACGCCATGCTCTTCTTGGGGAGTTCGGGAGCCTGCTTCTGTTTAAGCTCATCGTCTCGTTTCTGCTGCTCTTCTGTCTTGACCGTCGGTGCCTCGGCCTTTTCTTTTGCTCTTCGTTCGGCGTCTGGGTTCCGTAACAATGCGACTGACATCCTCATGTTCAATTGATGCATGTATTGTCCGTATCGGGCAGCGAACGCTCGGAACCGCGGGTGATCGTGTGCCTGAGCTTTGATGTGATTCTGAGGAGCTGTCAGTGCCTGGTCCAGCTGCGACAGGGGATATTTCGTACGGCGCCATATTTTGAGATATGCCTAACAAGAAGAGATGCAAGCTTGAATAGCGGAAGAGGAACCATGAGTGCTGGTGGTTTAGGAACTCTTGGCTCCAGTGTTGAAAGCTGCTTGCCAAGCTGTCTCGTAGGTTGGAATATTTGATCGCTGGTGGGGCTTCTATGGTGAGGAGTCAATTGAAGCTCAAATGCTGATGACACGCCAACAAAGCGCACAATACAGAAGAGTTCGACTCGTTTGGAAGTGCAAGGGCAAATCTGATTCGAGGACTCACTGATGATATCAAAAGAAAAGTAAGGTACGTCATTCTATGTAATTGGATATTTCGAGGAGAGTCGATGCCGTCTCTTCCGGAGCCGTGATATTCCGTGCTGACATAGGTCGGGAGATAGGCCAGGGGTGAGAGGCTTGTAGAGCTCTGATTGGTTACTCAACTCATTCCTCCATTTACACAGAACGAAACTACTGTGTTGGATGAATTGACACTCACTGACAACTGGAGTTCCTTCTTACGAGAACATAGATAGAGAGATCATCTTTTACTTTGTACCTAGATTGTGATACAGAAACCACCATCTGTACCTCGACTTCTGAGCACAAAGCCAAAGGTATCGACAACCTTCGTGTCATCAACTGGTGATATGAAGCTCACTCTTGAAGAAGCAAGCCCTGACATGAAACATGTCGGCCGCTGTGTTGGATATGATAAACGCCGAGATTTACACCTGCTCATTTATCGTACTGCCGATTTCTGTTGGTTGCTCTTCCTTCACCAAGTCCCTACCTACCTCCTAATCTTAGGCAGGTGGGTAGGCCGTAGTAACCCAGTAGGTACTGCTCAGCTGTCGCTTTCCTTCCTTGAAATATGTCTCCTATACCTTATCTCAACATGATAAATTCGTAGATTACTACCAGGCTCCATTGACAGGCATCACCACTCAACACATCCTCAATAGATCATTCCGGGGCTCGCGGGATCTTCTGGGCAAACATTACTCTTGGGGACTTGCACCTCAAACTTGACTGATCATGTTTTGTTCATCCTTACGGAAGCGAAGAGAATGGGCTGCGGCGGTTCATTCGCTAGCAACAAGCTCGTCAACATGGAAAGGTTGGTTATCGATGTGACCTGTTTGCTATACAGTATTATCACGCACACACTCACACTAGCGTCCCTAGAGAGCAACCTGGAGGCTTGTGATATCACATTTCCGATTCTCGTTTCCAACAGCCCACCCGCTACCTTCAGAGCAATTGCCTCGTCGTTGTCTGAGCTGCAGTCTTCAGAGGAAACGGCGCGAGTGACAAGACTATGGCTTATGAATGGAGGAGAACATATCGCTGTGATATTGCTTTTGAATGGTCACAAGCCTATGGAGTCTTTTTCTCGGCTGCAAATTGAGTACTTTTTCAAATCGCTGGCTTGCTTATTACCTGTTGACTTACTCTATAGGATGTTGTGCTCAGGTTGTCCCATCCCTATGATCCCCATTTCGACGACCCAAGATTTTGCCCACTGCCTTGAATTGCTCAGGCGGGATTGCATTAGGAAGAATCCCGCTGTCAATACTGAGCAACAAGCAACTCATGAGAACTTAGTATCCTGGTGCGTCGAAGGCAAACCTCTCACAAGAGACCAGGTCAACGTTCTGACCGGAATCACCTCTGGGTTCCGAGGCTTCGCAGACCTCTACTCCAGCCCAGGCGGCCGGGCTACAATCTGCGAATACCTTGGAGATAGCGATGGTGAGCGAGTTGTCTCGTTTCTCTCCAATGGCCCGCCACACGTCCGCGAGCAACCAGGAATAACAGATGCACACAATGTGTGGTAAGCCAGATAGTTGGTCACGTTTCCGAGAAACAGGGCGGTAACGACGAGTCTGCTTACCGAAGACTTATAATGCGTTATGTATAATGGCATGACAATGGTTCAGTGCAGAATAAGATCGTACAAGCAATGTCGTTTGGATCGATCATCTGCCCAGTATTCTGGGTCACAATCTGTGTTGCAGGGTGGTGTTGCTGAAATCATGACAGGCATCTGGGCAAAAGTACAGGGATGAGCGATGATACATGCAAGCTTAATGTAGTGCATATTCGACCGCTCACAATTATTTCGAAAAGAGTTATAGCGAAAATGAGCTACTGGTTCTCTATCTCTGCGTCGCTGAACTCGTTAGCCGTTGTTGAGACAGGGTAGTCTACTAGGCAATGTAGGTGATAGAACAAGTATCCACCGGGCAACCGAGTGATGCAGATGCGGCTGACCTGGCTGGTGGAAGCTGAACCAATTGGAGCGATGCTGCAACCGCCCAGCTAAGTCGGCGACAATGCGAATCGGGCTCAGTTTGCTCATGGTAGGCCTCAGGCTCGGTTATCACGCATTATCGGACGAGCCGATACCTTCGCTTGCATGTTTGGGGGCAAGTCACAGCTTGTGGTCTTGGTCGATACGGTGAGGGAAAAACGACCCAGCCGCAGCTCTGTGAGGTGGTATGAGAAGAGTGATAACCGGCACTAGTAGCTCAAGATGATGGTCAAGAAACCAAGAACAGAAGTGGTGCTATCCACATCAGATGATGGATGGTGACAAGAGCTGTTGGACGCACTCTGATCGGTACCGAGGGATAGGTTAAGGAAGCGGATCGCAACCGCTCGATCCAAAGATTCGGGAATCCTCTGAACAAATGAAGCAATCGTGTTTCGAGAAGCGCTTTAATATGGGGGCGCAATGTCTCATCAGTTGTTTAATGACAACCAACATGCTTTTGACGATAACCAACACCAGATCTTCCCCAGATCCTCTTCACCCAACAACTGCTCGACAGGGCAAGTTGCCACAATGAGCGTGACGAGTGGCACAAAGCGTCGTGGTATAAAAAAAGAACACCACATGCAGCGTTTAAGTGAACAGGGATTGAGGAGAAGTGGTGGGCGGGAGAGGGGCCAGGGGTCAGGGGTCCGACAGCAAGTCAAAACACCGCAACGTCGGCTGTCCCAGCATCTGCCTCATGTGGTATCCTCCTATGTCCCATGAGAGAGACTCGAGATAGAACAAGAAATTGACTACTGATGGCTGTCGACCGAGAGATAGGCGGGAAGAGCCTCTTGTTGAGATGAAGCTCATCTAAGGGAACCACGAAGCAATTGTATTCTCTTGGATCTCCTCAAAGTTGAGTTGTTTAACTGGCTGTCCAGGGCTTCCTTTTAGCTCCATGCGACATCACTCAATCCCTGTCACATCTCTCTCTACCCGCTTCCCATCTCCTCCCTCATGGCCGCTAAGCACGTTCATTGGCTTGTGCTCTGCATCTAACCGCCGAGGTCATCACCAATTGCCAGCCTTCACACCACTGCGACATATGAGTTTATCGATCTTTGACCACACCAGCCGTGGCAACGGCCAATCATGGTATCTCAGAGCTGCTTGCACCCGCTTTAGCTCCAAGATGATGGACGCCGGTCTGTGTGACGAGCCGCTGCATCGCATAACTTTCACATCCTAGCTCCCTTCTCCCCGCCTTTCCACTTTCCATCGCACCGCCGGTCTCGAGAGTCACCCAGGCGCTTCTACTGTATATCGCGAGGCGAATACGTGAAAGTGAAAGATGGCCCCGAGAAATGGCGTGGCTCGTGGCCCGACGGTCCATGTAGACCCTGGTTCATTTGTACATGAATGCATTGCATTGGCCTAGATTTTCATACCAAGAAAGAGGCGCATTTTGGCTGTCGTGGTTCTTTTCTTGGCCTTTTCTTAAAAGTCTCAGGCTGCCCTCCACTGCAACTTGCAGCCTTCCCCCCCCCCCCAAATCCCCGGTCCATCTTGAAATCTGTGTCTCTTGTAACGTCTCAGAAGACTCCTGAGTATCACCTCGTCTGGTCATACAATCTTGCGACTACAATAACTTCGGG